TGCGATCCATGCTTCCACGATCGCGTTTTACATTTCATATAGGATTACAGCTTAATTAACCTGAGATTTACTACAACATGTGAGAGGGTGGCTGGTTTTTAAGGCTGAGTCCACAGATGAAGAAGTTCTGCTGGAAAATGAGCTGGAGGTGGCTGTTACTCTATGCTGGTAAGACCTGCCATCATGCAGATATGGCGATGTGCTGTCAAAGCGTTTTTTTGCAGGTGAGGATTATTTTCTTTAGGGATCAACAGCCTTTATAAAGAGTGCTGACGTTAAAGACCTTCTTAGATAGCAATTTTTTTCTAGTTTTTTTTTTCCCCCCACCATCAGACGATCAGTGTGTTTTGTTTGCTGTTTTGGATTCCAAATTCAATTTAAGATATTGATATAAGGTTGATAGCAACCGAATGAAAAACAGTCAAACAAAAAAATCCGCTATTCACATATGGAACTCTAGGATTCTTTCTGCTTTCCATGAGAAAGTACTTCTGGTAGAATTTTCCTCAGCTTAACTTTAACTTTGGAAAGCCCTGCCAAGTTACTAATATTTTCCTGGTTTTTCTGTATTATCTACATTGTCTCATTCACTTCCTGTTTTTCTGGTCACTAGGTATGCTTTTGAAGTATGGATCATACAGTTTTTCTAAGCTTTGCAGAATGTACTCTTTTAGAAGATTAATGTGTTTTTTGGCTGTTCTCTAGCAACCACTGTAGAAATAAACTGTTGGAAACCAGAAGAATGGACAAGCATAGTTCTTCCATCCAACAAATTAAATACTGGTTAGATTTGAAATGAATAGGGAAAACGGGACTGCACTGGGAGTCTTCTAACCTTCCATGATCTTCCTCATACCTTGAATATTGCCTGTAGTCTGTAACCATGTTGCAATAGAAACCACTAGCAACAGCCACCCAGTTTTTCCAGATTTAGAAAAAAAATAGCATGTATCTTACTGAAAAGTAGGCTTTAATAATAAATTTCTGAACAATTAAATTTGGGCAACATTGTCAAATGCATGTTTAATGTATGAAACATTTGTATTGTGTGGGTGTGATGCTAGTCTGGTTTGTCTGCACAGGTGGGCTTGGAAAGCTTTAAACATTACTTCAACTTGTCACTCTGCATTTGATTACTGATTATGTCTCCTTGCTGGTTTTTTCTTAAATCCTCGGAACCTCTTGCTTCCTTAAAGAAACTGTCTGCCTTTAATGGGGCCACAAAATATGGCTAATTTATTGCTTTGTCTAGTGGTGTGAGAATCTTCTAATTGAATAGAGGTTTTCTGAGAGAGCAAACAAATTGCGTAAGTTTAAACATTTGAAATCAAGCTACGAATTGTTTGAGAAGTTGCTAATTATTAATTATTAGTTAATATAATTTCCCCTAATTCATTCACCTCTGAATACTGTATTATTGACATGCCAAGCATACAAATGCATACTCTTTACCATAAAGTCTCAGAGAGATGCTGTATAGCAAGAGATTTCCTTATGTATACCTCAGATTATCTATTTGTGAGCTATAAATCATCTCTATTCAAATGGGTGTTGAAAAACAGATCATTCAGCACAAAGAATAGCTTAAAGAGGGAAAGGTTTTGTCAGAGTTGGTGGTGATGGGGCGATGTGTGTGAAGATGAGTATTACTGACAGCATCATGAGTGATTTATTTGATTATTTTTTTTCTTCATGATTATAGTGGGACAATAAAAAGTTACAATGGTACAGAGGACTATGAACCCAGAAGCTACAAAGTCGTTTCCATATTGTGGAAATTTAGCTGTTCAATCTCTTAGATTTATTGTCTTCACAGATTTCTTAATAAAATCTTAAGATGTAACTAGTGATTGTTGCTGTAATTATTTTCTAGGTGCCTGATGGATAAAAACTTCGTAAGAATTGGGAAATGGTTCATAAGACCGTATGACAAGGATGAGAAGCCTGTTAATAAAAGGTAAGATGATCCACATTGCAAGTACTACTGTTGTCCGTGTTGAGTTATGGGTGCTGATACTTTGTTTCTGTCTTTGGTGGTAGTTTTTCTTTATCATGTAAAAAGAGAAAAACAGATACAATTTGTTCACTTCTGTAATACATACAGAGTAATCAAGAAAACTTGCAGGTTTTGTTTCTGGTCATCTGAGCTAAAGGCAAGGTAGGTATTTATTCATTAAATGCACAGATGTGCCACATTTTTGGGATTTTGCATAGCATCAACTTGTTACTCTCAGTGTACTCCAGAACCCCAGACAGTCCTAACAAATCAATTGAATTTCTGGACATTTAACACAAACCTGAAATTTCAAGCAGTAAAATAAATAGTGTGTAAATTTACTTAATTGTCTACTGATTTAAAGATGCCAACCTTGATGTATAGTTTTCCCTAATTAAACAAGCTGACAAATGGACCTTTATGGTTGATTAGCATGCTCCTCTGGCAGCAGCATAGACATGGAAAGAGGGTAACTGCCTCTACTTGCTCATCAGCGTTCTGCTAGCACTAAAGGTTGCAATGTTCTCAGATCTTCTGGTACTTGCATTTATAGTCATCCACTAAACAAGTTCTGTCAAAAATAATCTGAGCTGAGCTTAAACACAGATTTTCTAACAGGAATCATTTTGACAGAACTGGGTTAGGAAGTGACTAAACATGTAGTTGTGCCGGAAGATGTGAAAGGTAATGAGCAATTGGAGATGAACTGGGGTGGCAGCTTCTTCAGGCAGCATAGCTACAGTCCAGCATCCTGTCTTTCCCCTTTCATCTCCTTATTGCACTGCATGGTCTTGGAACAGCAATGTCTTTTGCCTCTGTTACAATGTAATGTTCAAACAGCTGGCTTGACTCTACTCTGTAGCAGGCTTTGTTTTAGCAAGGTGATTCTAGGCAATAATTGTTAGATATATTGTAGTAATTAAACATGGGCATGTTTCATTTCTAAAAATGGAGAGCTTTCACTTAGCATGGGAGTTCTCTCTGTCACTAAGCGGTCTCCGTGTGAGTGTGTAACCTTTGCAGTTTCCCAGTGGCAGGAAGTCCTTGAAAGGGACGCTTTTCTGCACGCCTTTTTCTGTCCTGACTGCATATACCAACCTTCCTCCTGGGGTCTCTGCAGCTTTTCTGATCACGCCAAGATCTAATTTAGTTTTCGGGAACATTAGCTCCCTAGAGCTGTGCAAGAAGTAGCGTGATACTAACTGTTGGAAAAGGGAGACAGCTCCTTTCATCAAGAGCTGTTTGTTTGATAAACTTGACTGCTGCCTTAGTGTGCGAATGAAATGTGTTTGAGTCCCTCCTGTTCGTTCCTGGTGTGCATCAATCCACAGACCTGTAAAGCATCAGCTTCCATAGGCAATGTCTGTGCAGAACAGCAGCAGCACTGTTATGGGAGGCGCTCCTGCTTCAGAGTGCAGATATTCTGGCAGATTAGTGGGTCTCATGTCTTATTTATGTGCATGTTGGAACAAATCACTGGTACAGCGGGGTGGTCTATAGGTGGAAATTGCCCTAGTTTTTAAGTGTGTATACATATTCACATACATATATCTGGTCTGGAGCATGTTACAAAATAATAATAATAATGTCAAAATAAAACTGAATTATTCCAGTTTATACATTACTGGCATTTTAATAGTGAATTCTCATTAACGTTGAAGAATAGACCTTTGAATTGCAGAGGTTAGTGGTTTTTGCTGTTTTGAGATTTTCTTCCTAAAAGTTAACTGTCACAACAAATACTGTAGAGGCGCAACAGTTTTTAAGAGCTGTTCATTAGAAATATTACTATGGGCAGCTTGTGGGGTGTTTTTTTAATTCTTCTGTTACAAGTACATTGGAGCTTACTACCATCCTTCAGTAGGATTAGTTAAGCTTGCAAAAATTGGCAATAGATTGTGCTTCGGACAATAACAGCTAATAAATTAGTCCCCTAAGTCTACCAATATTTGAACTGTTTTATTTAATTATTTTTTTCTTCTCTCTCTCCCATCCCCCTGCCACTTCTCTGTTCAGTGCAGCACATTAAGCTATCTCTACAAGTAATTGATGCCCATACTTCCATATAAATTATTTGAGGAATTCTTGCTTTAAGCAGGTGGTTGCCATAGGTAAATCTGTGGTAAATTGTAGGTAGTCTGTGCTGAAAATGTACTACTTTTTTTTCCCCTTGAATGGGGAGACTGAATCTTTCCACTTTGAATGGAGAAAAACTGAACAGATGTCATTCTCAAAAGGAAATAAAAATGTTCCTGAAGTCTGCTTTTCCTTTTTATTATTTTCTCTCTCTTACCCCAGTATAATTGGAATCATCTCAAACATACAGAGCTGCTGAGTTCATTTCAGGAATATACCGAAAAGTCTTGGGCTGGTGTAAACAGGGAAGGAGCAGGACTCAGGAGACTGGCTCACAAGGAGTAAGCTGACTTGGGGACTGTGATTCCTGTGAATGGAGGAAGGCGGCAGACCTGTGATTTTTAGAATGAAGTCAAAGATGAAGCAGAGCATGGCAGTGGTCATGACCTACTTAGTCCTGAGATGCCAAAAGGAGATCCAGGAACAATGGCTGAGCTTCTGAGGCTGGACTAGCAAAAACGATGGGCTGAGGCTTTTGAGCCTTTCCAGGAAGAGAGCTGGAACAATAGAGAGAGTTTCAGACAAGCAATGCAGCTGCTTTGCTTACAGTGGGAACCAGATGTTTTTGACAGGAAACTTAGTGCAGAGTTTGTTGGGTTTTCTTTCCTGAATATCATTTCTGTTGGTAGCATTTTTTAATATTATGTGACACTAAATAATACTTCATGTTTTATTATCTGTTGTACAGCAATGTGTGCTTAATATATGCCTCCATGCTCCTGCTGGAAAGTGTTAGACTTGCTTCTTTTTATTCACCTCTTTCTAAAAGAGACAGGTTTGTATGAAGCTTACAGAATTTGTCTGATAGGAAGCATTGATAGTGAATTCCATTTTAGTGAAAATTCATCTTCAGTCTGCTCAGAATTATTTTCCAAGTTCTGTGTGAGGCTTTTGGGTTTCTGAAAGCACTGCTATAAAATGTTAAACATCTTATTGGCAAAAAAAAAAAAAAAAAAAAGAGCTTCTCATCCAAGAATCTGTGCTATTTATTTTAGTGTACTCTTTTTCAACTGTGCACCAAGAAAAGAAAAAGAACTATGTGAAAAACTTAGGTTAAGTTGTTAAGCTATTTTAAATTTGCCAGATGAATAGATGAAACAAATTTGTTCCTTTTTGTGCCTTGTATATTTGATGAGTCAACTCTTCTCCTGCCGCTATGCCCCAAGTCTATTATTATTTTTCTAAATATTTTAGGAGGATGTGGAGGAGGGGCAGTGCTCTGTCAATGAAGTGTTTTGGAGTTGAGACTCCGAAACTCTCTTTCTCATTACTAGGTGAGAGTTGAAAGATAGGAGTGATGTGCAGGCATCCACATTACCCTCTGTGCATATGTAGCAGAGAAGATGGAAGAGGGGAAATGCACTTAGGCTGCAGTAAAACACATTCTTTGTCCCGTTGCAGTTTCAACTTGGGCTTTTGTTAAAGATGGTGTCCCACAGAATGTTTTGTAGGAACTCTGCTGGTTACAGTTCACAGCTGACAATGAGGGCCTTCTGTGCTGCTTGGCAGAATATAAACATTTTATAATGAGCACGTGGAATATGTTAATAAGTAGGCTGTCCTAAGTATTCACATGTCTACTCTCCCCATTTTGTTCTAATCTAGTGAAATTTTGCTTAACAGTTCAGCCAGTGCACTGGTATCTGATCTTGCTCAGGGCTATGCTCGTTTGCATGTATCAAAATAAGGCATTAACCAGTGACAGTCAAAACCAGAAAGTGTTAGGGTTGTGGGGGCAAGGGGTAGAAACATTTCAGGCTTTCAGGCTTTAATGTTGATTTGTATTATTCCTAAAGTGATGTTTTTTAGGTAATTTATAAATTAAATAGTATTCTTTATTCAAGCATCTGGTGTTTTTCATTTAATTATCAAAGTGTTTTTTAAAAGATGGTAAGAAGTTTTGCAGTGCATATTGGAAAACGTGCAATGAATGTGTTAATGCACACTGCACACATTACAGCTATCTCAGCACGGCTCCGCATGACGTAGCTCTGTCCACTGTGTTTTATGAATGTCCTTCAGCGAGTGCAACAAGAGCCTGGATTGGTATATGTGCAATGACTACCACCAAGGACTGCTTTTTTCATGATATCACTGAATCTTGTAATTCCTTTTTCCTGGGGTAAGAGCATTAAACAGACAGTGACAAAACAACCCCAAGCATCAGGATTCTTCAGATTCCTTGACCTTTGCCAATCAAGATAAATTCCTGGGAACAATGGAAAGACTGCCCGCATGGGGTCATTGCTAAGATGTCAGAGGAACAATCTTTTTAGTATGCTCTATACATCCAATTCATCTAATTCAAGTGGTGCTATACAATATCTTACACAGCTGTTTGCTGAAGGCGTGGAACTCGGCCAGCCACTCAAGGTAAAGCATAAGTGATGTTGATAGGTAGGTTGTTAGTAAGTCACTTTTGCGGTATTTGATGTTTTGTTGATAGATGCAAGTTTGAAATTTCGTCTTGGCAAGTCTACTCTTGTCTTGATGACTAAGATTATGTTATTGCAGTTGCATCTCTGTGAATACAGCATTATCTCAAAAATGGAACTGCTGTTTATTTGCAGAATTGAAATTATTGCAGTGTTTGTGGAGTGCCTTTCTGTCTCCAGCACCTACAGTGTAGGTTGTGAATCCCTGACTTCGTCCAGAAATTGCAAAATGTGGGCAGAAAGGCATGAAGTAGAATGGTATGCAGCAGAAAGCTAGAGCCCTGCATTGGCAGAATCTTAGAAAAGGACATTCATGAGCTCGAATCGTTTGGCTACTGCTGAGTTTCGAGCTTACACATCTCCAAAGCATGATACAATACTGAATAATAT